TGAAAGCAAATAATATTTCTCGCCATGTTGGCGTAGTAACAACAGTTATTCAAATCTAAATCAAAACCATTTCTAAGCAATAAAGAATAAACTCCAATCTTGGTCACAGGCGACACTTTCCTATTTCCCATGATTAAGTTTATATTCCCATGCTCCACATACTTACTTCCTTTTAGTCCCTGCAAATTAGAACAAATGTAAAATCCACAACCTGTATCATGGACCCAAGAATTAGCATGTGATGATTTATTAGATTGAATAATGTAAATACCTACAAAGGAGGGCTTGATCTTCCCATCATTTATTTCCAACAAGTTCTTGGGGCAACTTCATTTCCAGTGCCTTTTTTCATGACAACGGAAACAATCAACATCCATAAGATTGGATGAGGAATTAGCAAAACCAGATTTGGTCCTACTAGAAGAGGATCCATCAAGAGACTTCCATTGCGGCTCTTGGAGGGTGCCTTCCTCTTCTTTCCCTTCCCATGTCCGATTGCAAGAACATGGGCAGAAGTAGTAGTAAGAATAGACACAACCGACTTGCCTTTCAGGTTGATTTCTGCAGTCCTTAGAAGGCCTCGAAGCTTGCTAAGAGTGAACTCCTCCTTATTCATATGATAAGTCATATGAAATTGATCATAATAAGAAGGTAAAGAGTGTAGAATTATATCTATGGCCAACTCTTCATCAAAATTGACATTCAATTTAAGCAAGCAGTCCACATATCTTTGCATCTTTTGCAAGTGGGCCATGATGGACTCTCCATCCTTCATTTTGGTTGTGATCATGGAGGAAATGATCTCATACCTCTCCCATCGAGCACTTTGATGGTATCTTTCCACCATGAAAAACAAAATAGATTATTAAGTTTAATTAGATTTGAAATTCATAGATTCCTTGAGATTCATTAAACTTTTCAATGACATGTTTAATTCTCGATTGCGCCCTTCAAGTTTTGTGACTGGGATGCGAAGGATCACAAACAAGGTGTGAATAACCATGCCAATTAGCTTGGTACACCCAATGTTACAAATCACATAATCAATGTCCCGGTTAACCATACAAGCTCCATTGATCTATGATTAAAACCAAACTACCATTTGCCACACATTGCCAGTCCCAAATTAGTGTTCCAGTTAACCACACACGCTCTACTAACGACTTAACAAGGTGAAAATTGTAATTTCATGGATTAGCACCATTTTCACATTTTTCCTAAAGTAACTAAGATTGGGAATTTAATAAAAGTTTAGTTACTTTATATTTATCATTATACTTTTAATGAGGGGGAGTTAGTGTCCTATCCTAACCGTTCGGCTAACGACCTTCCACCAGTCAAGGAAGCGGTGAGTGAGAGTAAACACCCATCGAGTCCCTAACCAGCTCGCCAAGTTATTTCATCAACTCGATGAGTTCACTTGATATTCAGAAGGCGAGGAAACCCAATCCGGCTCATCGAGTTCCTAGGGCAACTCGTCGAGTCCCCCTTCCTTTTGCTTGTTGTGATGATACACCGAATCCAGGGACTCTAGGGATTAGATCTAAAGCCCTAAGGTGTCTATAAGGATAAAATTTCCAAATTTATCCTCTAGAACCGTTCCAAATGCTCTAAGGCCCTTTTCAAATATTGAAAAGCTCCAAAGCTTTTCCATAAGGTCCAAAACTCTAGGGATCTAAAATCCCTCCTTTCCAGAAAGGTTTCTAGTCCTCAAAACATTCCAAAGATGGAGGCTTTATGGACATGCATGTCCAATGCATGTCCCTAGGTCAAAATGACACAAAAGAGGGAAATATGCCCTAAAACACTTGCATGGTGTCCTTGCTCAACCAAAGGCCAAATCTAGCTCACCTTGGGACCATTTTGCTCTGGAGATTCATAAAGTTGCAAACTTTATGAACATCATGCATGCAATCAACAAGAAGAGTAGGAAATGAAGAGTAAACTCAAGATCTAGCCATATTCTATGATAAAAATCGAGTCTTGAAGACTTACAGCAGTCCACAAGATGGTCAAGCTCAAGGATAGGTTCTTGATTTGCTAGATCTTCTTACTAACTCCTTCTTCTTAAGCTTCAAAGGTCACTCTAGCTCACCAAACGAATAGAATGGGGATTAGGGTTAGCACATGCGTTCTTGGGGTTTGGAGGCTAATGGGAGGTCAGCATGAAGGCTCTTAAGGAGATTACATAGGGTGAAAACCCTAAAATTAGGGTTTTATCATTACAGTACCTACTTGTCGAGTCGGAAATTACAAAGCCTAGCCGCTTCCTTGAAATGCCCTCTACTCAATGATTTGGACCCCCAACTCGCCGCGTCCACACACCAAAACCCTGGATCTTAAATAAATTAAGTAATACCTAGAACAAGTGTTATAAGTCTCCCCCACTTATACTAGAATTCGTCCTCGAAGTCTGCTGATCTAAACAATTTCGGGTAGTGATCTCGCATATCTTCCTCCGGCTCCCAGGTCCACTCGGATCCCCTGCGGTGCTGCCATTGCACCTTTACCAACTCCACCTCCTTGTTTCGAAGAACCTTAGTCTTCCTATCTAAGATGGCAACGGGCCTTTCAATGTAGTTCAGGTTATCATCCAATTGGATGTCGTCCAACGAGATGACTTCGGACTCATCAGTGACACATTTCCGAAGCGGTGACACATGGAAGGTGTTTTGAATCTGGCTAAGCTCATCTAACAGGTCTAGTCGATATGCTACCTTGCCTACCCAGGCTGAAATCCTGAATGGGTCGATATATCGTGGTCCTAGCTTGCCCCCTCTTCTGAAACTTGATAACCCCCGTCCTGGGTGACACTTTCTGTGACATCCCTATTTTCACGGTCAGAAAAGACCGATTTTGTTTCTGCTTTATAAAAATCAGAATACCCTTTTAATAAAAATGTTGCGGAATTTGTTACCAGTAAAACATGATAAATATGTTATCAAAGCATTTTCGAAGAAAAGTATTATTATTCATTTTAAAACATTTGAGATGTTATCGTCAATACAGAAAAACTCGAATCAAAGAAGCAAAATGAAAAGATCAAATCAAGGATCAGTTAACCCATAAAAAAACTTAAATCACATATAAGGTAGATTTCTCATATCTTGTGCATATATTATTTCCTTTGTTGCACGTTATTTAGTTGTATTCCTAATTAAATGTTCTCATAACATCATGTTATGGTGTTCTTTTTTTATAAGAAATCACGATTAATGAAAAATTGGTCTTAACTTGTTTTCCAAAAATTTTACAAACTGTTGGACATAAGTGGTTGTTCCATTAACAATGAGGTTTATTAAAATTTATTGTTAACGTTAAACTCTAGGATTTATATTAATATTTTCAATTTTTATATTTGAAAATTCTATGAATGATTTGGATGATACCGATTGGGATGGTAGAAAGATAAATTGGAAGGTTGGATGATCTCACATCATGGTCGTTGTGGCAAGTGAATCTATTGAGAGATATATTGAGTCGGTAAGTTGGACTGACTTGTCGAATAGTGATATGATGTCACGAAAAAAGACTGTTTTTTTATATATTGAAGAAAATCAAGCAAGAATATATGACATGCCCCTGGTTATTTTGTCTGGTCGTTGTGGTAAGCAAATCTAATGAGAGATATATTGAGTAAGTAAGCATGATTGAGTTGTCGAATAGTGATATGATGTCATGAAAAACGGCTGCTCATTTCGTACCTGGAAGAAAATCAAGTAGGAATAAATGATATGTCTTAGCTCTTTTGTCACATATTGAGTCGGTCAGCGAGATTGACGTATCGAATAGTGATATGAAGTCTGCGCATTTCGTATCCGGAAGAAAATCAAGTAGGAATAAATGATCTATCTTAGCTCTTTTGTCACATATTGAGTCGGTAAGCGAGATTGACGTGTCGAATAGTGATATGATCTCATGAAAAATGGCTGCGCATTTCGTATCCGGAAGAAAATCAAGTAGGAATAAAGGGTTTGTCCTAGCTCTTTTGGCACATATTGGGCCAGTAAGCAAGAACAACGTGTCGAATAGTGATATGATGTCACGAAAAACGACTGCTCATTTCGTACCGGGAAGAAAGTCAAACAGAGATGGCTTGACCTAGTTCTTTATTCTGGTCGTTGTGGCAAGCGAATTTATCGAGAGATATGTTGAGTCAGCAAGCGAGATTGACTTGTTGAATAGTGATATGATGTCATAAAAAAGCAGCGACTCATTTCGTATCTAGAAGAAAGTCAAGCATGAATAGATGGTTTGACCTAGCTCTTTTGTCTGGTCCTGGCAAGCGAATCTATTGAGAGATATATTGAGTCGGTAAGTAGGGTTGACTTGTCGGATAGTAATACGATATCAGAAAAAATGACTGCTTAATTTCGTATCTGGACGAAAGTCAAGCATGAATAGATGGTATGCCCCCAACTCCTACTAATATCTCTATGTTGATACCACATAGTGCTTTCATTATCTGTCATCCGTTCATATAATTCCCTATTGCTTGATCGTCGAACCTGATGAATGAATGAAAAAAGAATGTTATGATAAATTTGCAATTTACTGTACATTTACGAATTTATTAAATTAAATTCCATTCATTTTTTCAACAGAACACCCTATAACATTTTAATTTTTTTTTTTTAAAATAAAACTAATCTTTTCAAATAAATAAATCTGAAAAATAGATACTCCCTATTAAGTATGTATGTTTTAAGACTACTAGAAATAAAGATTTGATTTATAATTGTTGAAATAGCAAATTTGCCCCTGGATCACATTTAGATTGGATTTAAGTAGTCGGGTAACGGGGGATCTCTTCTTTGACTTCTTTTACTCCGTACAACCAACGCTCACATGTAAATGAGGAGAGAGAGTGTGAGTGTGTGTGTGTGAGCCTATATAGTATATAGGCAATCTTGTTACATCTTCTACGCAACCATTCCACCACTACACCCCCTTCTCCCTTCTCTCTTAGCTCCGCCGCTTGTTCATTGCACGGCTTCAAGATGTCATATGAATCTGATCCAGACGATGATAACTCCTTCAGCGACAACTCCCTCAGCGAGCTCGTCCATACAACCCTCTCCTACGACACAAACTTGATGCTCGCCGCGGTTATCTCCCTTCTCCTCGTGATCCTCTTCGTCCTCCTCCTCCACCTCTACACCCGTTGGTACCTCGTGCAAGCTCGCCGGCGAAGCCGCTCCTCCGTGACTGTGCCGCGCGTCCTAGGATCTAGATTACATAACCGTAGCAGTTTCACCATCATCGACACCACTTCTAATCCTGGTAATTCGAATTCTCAGGGAAAATTCGGCCTCCCTTGTTCAACCATCGCCTCATTGCCGCTATTCGTGTACAAAGTCTCATCCGAGGAAGATCGTGATTCCAGATTAAATTGTGCAATTTGTTTGAGCGCTTTCGAGGAAGAAGAGATCGGAAGGAAATTACCTGGATGCGGACATGCATTTCACGTGGAATGTATAGATATGTGGTTGCACTCTCATTCATCATGTCCGATTTGTCGAGCATCAATCCGGTGTAATCACAGTAATAGAACTAATCGTCTGGAAATCCAAATGGCTGATCAAGAGCAAGAATCGGAATCTGTCGGATTGACAATCAGTAATGAGGAAGAACTGCGATTGGAGAATGTAGCTCCAATAAGCGACCAGATCACGGAGCTTCATGAAACGGCGGATGCTGCGGCGGAGAACGACTCTGGAGTAGGTGGTTCATCATCGTCTTCGATAGGAGAATCGATTAAAAAGCTCATGAGCACCAGTAGCGGTTGCAGCAGCAGCAGCAGATCCGGAGGTAAAATTCATCCTTCATCGGATGATAATGGAGATGAATCAGTGGTTTGATGTTGATAATGATAGGTTTGTTTACTAAAATAGTCATCGCAAACATGTTACTTTGAACAAAAACTGTAAAAAATATGTAGTGAAATGAAGTTTTTGGGAGTCATAAAATCATTGAATTTAGGGTTTTTTAGGTTATGAAATCAAGACGGTGATCTACAATCGAATTTTTCTTTTTAATTGGTTTGAACTGAATTTAGGCCACCGTCACCGGCCATTCCGAATGTCTGGTTTCCGCCTGCTGCCGCTGCCGGCGATTTCAGCTTTCTACAATTTCGCCTTTGATTCTCATTTTCACAAAAAAGGAAAAAAACAAAAAAAAGATATTCATCCATCGTTAATTTTATTATAATAATAATATAATTTAAAATTTTATTTAATACTCTAAATTTTTTAAGAAATCTTAATATTAAATGATTTTTTTTTTCAGAAAGACAAAGATAATAACTAAATGTGTATTGATTCAAAGGATACAACAATTAAATTTGTATTGATTCAAAAGTGCGACTCCTTTATGATTGTACTCTTAATTCAATTGTGTATACCTATGTACGATAAAATATTTTTATTTAAAAAAATGCAAAGGTAACAAGTAATATATACTTCATTTATTTGTATCGCAATCAGATAGCAATAAACAAATAATAGTCTGACACAAACATTATAATGTTCAACATATATATGACATGTTTGTATCTGTTCACCACATAAGATTTTTGAAAAACATATTCCTACGCTCACTTTAGTTATTGAAATTTTATTCTATACAATTATTAAATTTATTTTAACTTATATAATTTAATAGAAAAACTGATATAAAAGATTAGGTATGTTATCAAACTGATCTTGGGGAAACCCTTTCTTATTCAAATAGATTTTCATATCTTTATTTACGTTCTTAATAAGTGATCAAATCATATATATTTCTAAACTGGTAAGCTTTTTAAGTAGAAAATTTACATTTTATTCTATTTTTCGTAGTAGTTTTTAAAGGATTCTACGAATATTTATTCAGTTTCTTCTTTGATGCGGTGTATCAATACTTCGATAGTGAGACTTTGTTGGTTATAGATCTTTCTACTAAATGGATCATTTTTGTACCAATCAAAGTAAAATCTTATTATCGAGAGTATTGTTGCGATAATTGTCTAAAATAAATAACTTGTAAAAAAGGTAAGAACATTCATTCTCTCTTTTTCTACTTATGTGATTTCATCTTGAAAACAAAAAGCGTTTTTTCTTATATTGTTATCTATTTTTGGAATCAAATTGCTTCTTAGTTACTTTTAGTGTGTTGAACGATCTAGTCACTTGGTCAACTAATTCTTCCCCATATTCGAGAGGCTTCTAAAGAAGGTTTGGAGATGGTGATTGTTACGACGATGTGGATTATTTGGCGACTTTAAAATAACATGTTTTTTTTCAATATTTTAAACTTGAAGTGCGTTTCAAAATAGAAAAAAAAAATAATAAAGATGTTTCTCGGATTTATGATAGATGCAAAACAAGTTAATTAGTTGGTTTGTTGGTTTTATACTTTTATAATCTAATTTTACATTTGTCTTTTTTATAATGTTGCTTTAACATCTTTGCTAGTTTGTTACTGTAATTTTGTGTCGTTCAAATATTAAAAAAGACTACTCATAATATATGGAATGTTAAAATTGTTGTGTTTTTATCTTTATCGTGCTCTATCCTTTTTGATTCAATACTATAAAATTAAGATATGTGATAAGTAAATTCTTAATTTTAATCATATAAAATATAATATTATATAAGACTAACATTTTTCCCACCCAAGCATCTATTTATTTTTTTTTGAATGACAAATAATTATTTTTCTCGTATGTTTGGGCTTGAACTCATAACCTTCAAATTATTTGTTGGTTTAAAACAACCAAACCATATTAACCAAGAGAGCTAACTCCAACTTATAAATAAAAGAATTAGTTATAACGTTTTTCTTTTATTTTGTTTTTAATTAAAAAAAGAAAAAGAAAAGTTCCCGAAACTCTATTAATAGAACTTCAGTCAAAGTATTGGCGTAAGATTTTAAGACGGTGATGCTAGAATTTTGGTGTAAGCCCACAATTATTGACTTTTGGTATACATATCACATATGTGTCATCCACCGAATCTATATGCCATTTTTGGCGACATTACTTAAATAGCATTTTATTTTTTCTTTTTATCTTTTTATATATTAGAAAAAAAATTAAATCAGTTTATGAAAAGTTATAAAATGAAATGTATATATATTCAAACTTGATTTTTATAATTTCAAATTTCAGAAAACGAGTTCATGAAAAATTGCATCTATCATCCAAATTCAGTAAGGGGTGGCTTTTATTTTTCATCTAAGTTTTTTTCGCAAAACAAGAAAAGATATTTACAAACATGCTTTAAATTTTATTGTTAACGGCAACTCTAAACCCCAAAATATAACCAAAGTATGTAAAATTTAAAAAAATTAAATTGATTTATATAGTTTTTAATGGGCCTTCTTGATGACACACATTGGGCATTCAATTGATCACATTTCACAATCCACGGACATTAGAGAAAGATAAATATTTGGATTCGGTCCATTCTGATAACATCATGTAGGTTAATATTCTGATTTATGTATTTGTGTTCGTTATGCTAAGGATGCATATGGACGATACACATTATATCCATTTAGTACATTATAATTTCTTGAACTTCCCCAAAATGTTCAACTCGAGTCGCTCGCTAAATTAATTGGTTTAACCTGATACGTGGCATTTATTTGGTACATTTTTGAAGGGTATAAGTTCATAGAATATCAATGTAGTTTTCAGTAGTAGACCTAGAAAAATCAGACTACATTTTTTTATAAAGTTGCACTAATAGAAAAAAAAATCATTTCCGATGACAGTTCTATCACAAATCCATCACTAAAAGGTTTTAACAACGAATTTACAGTAAATTTACACTTATCAGACTTTGTTACGAATTTTCGAATGATCTGTGGCAGAGAAAATTTGAATGGTAGCAGTCTGCCCATGATAATTTTTCATTTATCTTACCTGGGCCACAAAGCATTTTATTTTTCATACATATTAAGTCAATGCATTTACAAAAAAAAGTTTGCATCTAGGGATAACATTAGAGACCATTCAAAATGACTAAGACCTACAACATTGTAAACCGACTTTTTAATGACCCAATTATTTATAAAGACTCCAACATATATAATGGATGGGGTACATGAGAATTAAGTCCATGAGTATTATATGAGAAGGAAAACATGATGACCATGAGGTCTATTGTATAGTAACTTTGGTCTGTCTATTTATTATGTTATTTTACTTCTGTTAAGTTAGATGAAAAAACTATTTTTCTTCTTCATTGATGGTCTAATAAAAAATATTCATTAAATCATCGTTAATCTTTAAAGACTAAAAACATATATATTTTATATAAAAGGGAAAATGACATATATGTCATATTAAGTTTCTAGGGTTTATCCATTTAGTCACTTAACTTATTTTGTGGCTTTATGAGGGAACGAATTATTTGTAACTTAGCAATCTAATCCCTTTCACATATTGTAGCAGGTTTCCATTGCCACATAAGTGTAAGCTAACACATATGCGATGACATGATAAGAATTCAAAGTATCCCAACAATCCAAACGATGTCCGCTTGTATGTGAATTGTAGGGAGCACGCTTGGACTGTTTAAGCCGCCTTCGTATAAATTGAAGACTTTGTTGCCCTAAAATGGCACATCTGGAAACTTGCTTACCCTAATCTCGTCTTTAACTTCACTCCGAAATAGGAAAAATGTCTTCGCGAGCAACTGAAGAACACAACTGGTCTCCAAACTACCGCCGTCAAATGGCGGAGAATCATTCCAATGGTGTAACCAACAAAGACATGGTTATCAATCTACTACAAACCTAGCTGAAATTGTTTCTCATACAGGAGGACTTCCAAAACCAGTTGCGTAAGCTCCAACAGGGTGTTAATTGAGACTTGAATGCTATGAACCGTGAGGTTGATGACGTTCGCGCTAGTCAACTGGATATCTCTAATATCTTTGTTGATCTTAAGAATCATTTCTTTTCTCTACAAAGGTCGTATGTGAAGATGGTCATCGAGCACAACAAACATAATAAAGTGATGTATTTTGTTGGGATTATTGGTGTTTCTACTGTAGGTGTGTTCACCTACATGTTCTTCAAGTAATAAAAGAAGTGTAGGTTAAAGGATTCCTGTCATAGGTTTGTGTTTTGGTGTGTTATTTAAGTTGTTTATTGTCAATATTAGTAATAGATTTTGTGTCTGGTGGAGCTTGTTGCTGGTGCTGGTAATAGTTTGTGGTACTGGTGTATATAGTTGGTGGTGGTGGTGACTGGGATGGTGATGCTCATCATTTTTTGATGAAGTATGTTTCGATGATCTTTGTAATATATTATAGTATATATGAAAAAATTGATGTAAACAAACCCATGGATGGAATGTTGGTTTATATATTATTAAAAAAATGTATTGCACCTGTGTTTGTGTCTGTGCATGAACGAATGAAATATTTGGGGATTATATATGTTCGGGTAAGTTAGTCCCAGTCATGTGGATCTTCATCATTGGGATGGGACCACAAGCCAAAGCAAAGTCAATCTATTTTTAAGTAGATACATAAGGACCACAAATGGTGTGGTTGTGGAAAATGGACAAAAAAAAAATATTGCACATGAGGCACAATGGTCTTTTTCTGTAACCATTTTATGGAAACAACTTTTCTAAAGTGCAGTTTTTCTTGTTTACTTGTCAGTGCACTTTTGCTTGTTTAATTGTCAATTTCAGATCAGATATATAGAATAGTTTAATGGATTAAGTGACAGATAACATGTTACATGAATAGCTTAATAGATTAAGTGACACAAAAAAGAAATTGACTTAATTACCCCCACATCCTAAAATTTTAGTAATGACAAAAATAGCCCCTAAATGGTCATTTGTATTTATATGACAAACATACTCATACTTGATTGCATACTGTAAATGGCAAAACCACCCTAAATGATAAAAATACCCCTACATTGGCTATAATTCTCCTACTTTCTTAGTTAATCCACATGACTAAAATACCAATACGTTCCTAACTTAATCTAAAATAGCATATAATAACTTTCCATACCATAAAACAACATAACATACATGATTTTATTTATTGCAACACGCATGAGTGATGAACACTACATTAATTCTTGTTCTCATACACAATCATACGATTAAATATCACACATACACTACAAATATCAAACCATTATCTAATCCAACCCCATGGCCGTTTCAAGACTGCTACCTTCACCTCCCACTTTTTTAGCAAGCCCTATTTTAATGATTCTCTTTAACTTCTTCCTTTTGTTAGGTGGTCTTACATGGTGAACTTGACGAACACGAGCATTGACCCTAGCCCCTTCCCCACACCCATTGACTCCCACCACTTTCTCATCCTAACCTGTCTTCTTTAATGCATCACTTAAATCAACCATCACCTCATCATCCCTACCCTATTTTGTAAGGTTCACATACTCCTATGTAGGTATAATCTTTTATTTCTTTGTATTATTTTGTTTGGATGGACATGCAACTTGACTGCAAGTGGCCTTGTTGTGGTCTTTCTCTTTGTATATGCTACAAGAAACCTTCTTCCCAACCTTTGAAATGGTGTGTTTTCCCACCCGTTCAAAAGCATCCATTATTCTCTTCATGGTTGGCCTGCCTAGCATTCATATTTTCAATGGAGGCAAAGGGGGTGTGAATTCTATAGAAGGCACAATGTTTTTTCCATTCATCCCATGGATTGATTGTCTGTAAGGATTATCGAAGAATGTGACCAAGTACATTGGATATACATATGGCCCATCAAGTGTGATATTAAAATTGGCTAAGGTGGCAACCGAATGTACGCAACCATACCCATTAAGTTGTCATAGCCCGCAACTGCATTCCTTTTTTGGAACATGAATAATATATGCCTCGTCCATTTTCCTGGCTTCGAACTTCATACCCCCATAAGATACAACTTGCCAACGCCTACATAATTGGAAAACCAAAATATTAATAGATGTGGCAAGTAAGGTATGGATGTTATTGGATAAGTGTGCAAATATTTGATCAATTTGGAGAATATTCAACCTTGTTCTAATATTTGGACAAACGGAATAACGATTCCATCCTTGTTCGATTAGTTTTATACCCACCATCCTTTGCATCATATATATCTACGAATGTCCTTTAACATGCTTATGATAGATTTCTTTCGGGCATCCAAAATCACACTGTTAAAGCTCTTTGAAAAACCATTCTCCAAGGACTAACAAGATGAATTATGAACTCTAAAAAAAGCTAAAGACCAAGTCTTTAGATCTCTATCAATAAGACGCACAACTGATGTTGGATTCAACTTTTCAATCTCTTTCATAACTCCATTAGAATGTGCTTCAATTGTTGCCGTGATTGCTTTCCAAAACAAAATTTCAAACTTGGCTCCACTAAATCTCTTTCTAAAATTGGCATAGATATGTCTAGCACACTGCCTATGTTCAACTGCTGGGAATACTTCTTTTACTGCCTCAACAAAACCCTACATATGTTACATGAAGGATTGAACTTAGAATTGAAATTAATAATTTTAGAACATGAAATATTTATGTACCATACCTTGTATTGATCCGAAATTATAATCAAACCTTGTCCTTCATTCCAACATTGCAAATCTTCTGAAAAAGTTTCTATGAACCATTTCCAATTGTCCTTGGTTTCCATACAAAAAACCGCCCAAACAATTGGGAATATTCCATTGTTAGCATCCCTACCAACAACACAAAGCAACTCCCCTTTGCAAAAACTTTTCTGGAAACAACCATCTAGGTTAATGATCCTCTTATATCCTTCCTCCATCTCACTTTTACTAAAACATATGTACATCTTGCTGAAGTAATTCTTACCATCAGGCATTGCATCAACACAAATTTTAATTGTGGATCTAGGATTTGATCATTTGATCTCCTCACCATATGACCATATTCTTGTATAATTTTTTTGCTATTGTGCCTTCAGCTAGATTCAATGCATACTTATTGGCTCTCCTATACCGAATCATACTCACATCAATGCCAAAAGTGGATTTTACTTCCTCTCTAAGCAAACAAACACTCATCTTTTAATTGTTATAAAATTTTCGCTTAAAGTGGGTCCATATCCATTTGTAAGCAACAATTGATTTGAATTTGAAATTCTTTGCACGATTATGCTCACCAATAAGAGACTTGATCTGGAAAGACTTATTATCACTCACCCATGAACCCCAAACCCTAGATTTACATTTTCCATCACAACATTTGGCAAGCAATCGTCTAATATCATTCTTAACAAAACATAATTGATAACCACTCACGACAACATAGTTACAAATCATGTGTTTCAATTTTTTAGGACTCTCAAACCTCATAACTAACACAAGTTCCTGCTCCTTCCATTTGACCTTATCATTGAAAATATTAGGAAACTAGGGATAAACATCTTCATTGTCACCCATGTCTTCTTCCAAAGGCTCACCTACACTTGTATTCTCAACCATGTCAAATTGAAGCTCGTTATCCTTTTTGAAAAAGATGAGGGTTCTCATGGTCGTCCTCACCGTCATCGGCATCCTTATCCTCGTCGTCATCCTCATCGCCATTGTCTTCCACATCGTCAACCTCATCCACATCTTGATGCCCTGTTGCAACTTCCTTAATCTATCCTGAACCAACAAGTACCTCTTCCTCTATGTTACCAACAACCTTGTCTTTGTGTTTATCCAACCATTCCTGGTTGTTACTATTCCCAAAATGCTCTACATACATAGGGAGTATAACACCACATTCGTATGCGATCACTATAGAGTCGACATAATCCAGGTCATTTCTAATTAAATTCAAACCTTTTGGAAAATCAATATCGGGTTAGCAGTAACAGAGCTTCTCACACTTTTCCCCAGTGAACATTTCGATGAACGCATAACACCCATCCTTGTCCATGCTTGCGAAATCGATATCCGAAAACCTATGTAATTCCACCGGTGTAACGTATGGGGTATATGGTGAAGATTCCTTGGAAGTGCACATCTATTTGTAAGAATACAGGTTCCATGTTTGAAGTTTTAGGAGTAGAAAACAACAAAGGGTTTATCGATGAAGTGATGAATAGTGGAGGTCAAAAGGGCTCTTTTATAAAGCATATACCGACAGTAAGAAGGAAGCAACTAATTAATGACATGACATTACACAGAAGATACGGTCAACATCCTATGTGGTGTTACTAGAGGGAGGTGGACTAAAAATGACCGGCCGAGCCCTTCACAAATGAAATAAGGACTTAATCGACCTGAAAAAGTGTAATTTGTTCCCTTATAAAGCCATAAAATAAGTTAAATGACTAAATGGGTCAACCCTTGAAACATAATAGAGCGTATATACCATTTCCCTATATAAAACGACAACAATATGAGTTTTATTTGTTTAATGACCACAACACTAACAATATCCTAGTTACATAACGATAATGATTAGTTTAAAAACATAAACCATTCAAATCACACGATGGGAAATTGTTACTTTCATACCCCAAAACCGAGAACGGCGAAAACGTTATGGGGAGGAGGACGTCATGTAATGTATCACAACAATGCAAAGTAGTAAACAAGCAACAACATCATCCATTGCATTAATAGTATAATTTTGAATACATGTGTGTTCTTTCATAGTATAAAACAACATAATGAATGTTCAAAATAAAAAGACGAGTCTTGACTGCTCTGTCTTCATGAAACCTGGTCATCGTACTTGTCTATTTGTGACTTGAGAATACAAGTTATTTTGAAAGCGAGTATCAGCAATTAAGCTGGTGAATTCATAAGTATTAATGTGTCTTTGATTTCTAAAACTGAAAAGAAAGACTTTTAAATGTTTGAAGAAACGTTTGTATAAGTATGAAAGTGTTTGTAAGTAATTGTAAACGTTTGAAAATCCTAGAAAATCCCATATTTCCTACTAGTATAAAAAGTAGTTGTAACACCCAGAATCAGGAAGACCAAGAAAAGAAAGGTTAAGCTCTAAATCAAGAGTCAACTCGTCGAGTCGAGGGGGAAACTTGACGAGTCGGAGTGGGACCCGGGTCATTGAGTAAGTGACCGACTCGGCGAGTCAGCGAGTGTACTTGACGAGTCTGGGCTGGGCGAGAAAAACCCTATTCCCAGAGGTTGTGCCTTATATAAAGCACATTATAACCCACCCTCAGCCTCTTTGCTCCCCTTTTGAGTTCCAGATGCCCTAGAATTAAGTGAGCCTTCATTATTTGAGAGAATAAAGCCTTGGAGGAGAGAATCGTGGTGAGGGGCTTGAAGATCAAGGGCTTTGCTGCAAAGGAGTGGTGTAGATCCGGGATTTACTTCAGTTGGAGCTTTCATTTGAGGTAATAGTATGTTGTTTGGGCTTATGTGCATTTAGATCTATCTTATGTTTGAGTTTTGGGCATTTTGAGTATCGATGAGATCTATTTCAAGTTTGGAGTAGATTTGAGGTTGCTACCTCAGATCTAGGTTGGTAATAACCCAGAAAGTCATAAAGTTTAAGCCAATAAGTTATTGGTGAAGCCCCTTTGTTACAAACCCTAGCCCTAGAGTGTTCTAAGCCTATAACTCCTTGGTTACACGTAAAGTTTGCCACTTTACGTGGGGGTTAGGCTCTAGAGGAATGGATCTATGGATTTGAGCCCCTGCATGGCTCGAAAATCCACTGTATGGATTAAGAACTGAAGAGACTCGGTGAGTTGCATGGGTGTACTCGGCGAGTTGGATGAAGTTAGGCAGCAACTCGACGAGTTGGAAGAACAACTCGGCGAGTCTGTTAAAGATTGCATTGGACTCGGCGAGTCTGTTCTTGGACTCGGCGAGTCAAATCGCGAAACCCCAAACCCTTAGAGTTAAGACTCGGATCAGTGAGTTGAGTAGGGACCCATTTATTGGACAAGTCAGGACTCGAAAATCAATAGACTCGGCGAGTCATGGTCTGACTCGGCGGGTCGAGTAGCGAATAAAAGGGATTTCAGAGCTTATGAACTCAGCGAGTCAGTAGGGTGACTCGGCGAGTAGGGTCAACCTGGAAGGTTGACTGTGACCAGTACTTTGACTTTGACCATAGTTGACTTAGTTGACTTTTAAAGGGCTATCAGACTAAGTATCATTTTGATATTGGTAGTTCAGAGAGCTAGAGGAGTAACGGCTCAAAAGGTTGTCGGTTAGCAGCCACAGGGTATCAGCAGAGCTCAGCAGTTCAAGTGAGTTTCCTTCCAGTAGGAACGGGTCTAAGGATATAATACCGGCCCGTTTAGCTAGCAGAAGTTTCCGGACTTCGGTCCGATGCAATAGTTAGTATGTTTGATGACTTCGTGGCTCAGACAGGATTTATGTGTTATGTGTTTCAGGCTACGGCCTGATGCAGTATGCAATATATGTGTGTTCATGCTAGTTGATATTTTTATGTTATGATTTGTTCAGTCAGTTTCCGGACTTCAATCCGATGTAGGGGCAAGGCCCCAGTTAGTTCGGACTTCGGTTTGATGCAGGGGACAAGGTCCCAGTCAGTTTCCGGACTTCGGTCCGATGCAGGTGATAAGGTCCCAGTCAGTTTCCGGACTTCGGTCCGATGTAGGGGGCAAGGCCCCAGTTAGTCCGGACCTCGGTCCGATGCAGTGGGCAAGGCCTAGTATGTGCTTTATATGTTATTGTATGGTATGTGGTAGTTTGGGGGAGCTCACTAAGCTTCGTGCTTACGGTTTTCAGTTTTGGTTTCAGGTACTCAGTTTTCAAAAGAGGAGCTCAGAGAGGTTGCAGTGCACACACCATAGTCAGTTAGTCTGGGAATGTTTTACTCTGATGATGAGATTATGTTTTGAATTAATACTCGAAAATTATGTTATGACTTCTGATACGGTTTTATAAATATGGTTTTAGTAATGTTTTAAAAGAAATTTTTAGTCGTGATTTTTGGGTCGTTACAGTAGTCTTCTACCAAGACTCGATTGTTTTGAAAGTAGTCTTCTACCAAGACCCGACTGTTTTGAAAGTAGTCTTCTACCAACACCTGATTGTTTTGTAAGTAAGCATCACTGTAAATGTGATGGTTTTTCCTTGTTTAACTATTATTATAAAACAATAGTTTACCTCATCGTTTATGCGTATGAGTCACAATATAAAGGTAATAAGGAAAATAGTTTGTCTATATCAAATATATCCTACCTCGTTGATTATGTGAATGTGTCACAAAGTAAAGGAAGGAAAATAATATAATAACTAAAAATTGTATCCTTTTGTACTAGGATAATCATGGCGTGGAAACTTGCCGAACAGTATAACCATAGACACCCATCGATGATCATTTTCCCTACTGTAGCTAACAATTTTGGGTGTGAAATGGTTAGTCCTAAAACGTTTGTAACATATTCTATGTAATAGTATCTATTAAACGTATTAATGTAAACGTGTTCATGTAAGCGTATCTATGTAAACGTATTCTTGTGCACGTATCTATGTAAACATACTTATGTAAATGTATCTATGTAAACGTATCTATGTAAACGTATTCATGTAAACATATTTCTTCATATATTATGTAATGTATTAGTATAGACTCATGAATGAACTGACTCTTGTGTGATTCTTTGTACTTGGAATAGCAAGTAATATCTCCTAACTATACCTATTATAGTTACTAGTGATGTACGTGTATAACCGAAAGTATGCCTTTGCTACCCAAAGGTACCGAACTGACTGATGGAACTTTTATGTCTATATATGTATACATGATATATAACTAATATTTAGACGACATTTGGATGAATAACCGGTGCTCTAAGGCCACATCCCAACGAGGAAAAGGAAATAAAGCGAGCTAGTCGTCCTAAGTCCTTTAAACATTACTTATGTAACTATACATATATAGGCATGCATTTTACAATATAAAAGTATAAAAGAAGTTTTGTAAAAACTTTGAAAAGTTTAATACTAAGAAATGATGACTTGATGCCAGTTTATAAAACAATTTAAAAGTATTTTGTTTGATAAGACAGTTTTAAGTCTAAGGAAAACCTTTGTTCGCAACACAAGTGTAACAGAGTTTGAAAGGAAACATACAACATGTAAATCAGTTTGATAAAGATTTTTAACATGTAAAAATGTTTGGGAAAGTCATTTGAAGTGCTATGTTTGGTAAAACAGCTAAACGTATAGTAAATATATTTGTATGCTAGTTATTAATCACATGTGATTGATATAATAAATAGCATGATTCAACTTGTATCCCCCCCATAAAGTATTTATAAACATTTAAAAACATTTAAAAGGTTAATTAAGGGGTATGAACTCACCTGCAGTGAGTGGATCGGATGGAAGTTTCGGACAAGTGTTTGGTGTCAAGTGAAGACTTAAACACACACAATGATCCTAATAACATATAAAGACATATGTATATATACAATTAGTGATTTAAACACTAATTAGGCAAGTATAAACATCCTAATGCGTGCAAAACACTTTGGTCAAAGTGTTAGGAGGCCATTGGGTTGCAACAAAGGAGTGCAAGGCATTGTAAGTGAGTTTATGGTCCATAGACCATACTTGTTGGAGTTTACGGCCCAGGGGAGTTTACTCCTGGCCGTAAAATCTCAAATGGGTCACCAAATGAGGCTTAAAGGTAAGGTGTATTATGTGGTTAAGTGTTTCAAGGCTTAAACAAGATGCTAGGTGGGTTTAAGGTCCAAGAATGACCTTATATTAAGTTTACGGCCTGGGGACCACTTCCCCGTGATTTTACAGCCATAAACTCATGGTATGAAGTATAAGTTCGTTTCTTGAAGTCCTTAGTTCAATTGTCTATGGTTCTATACTAAGTTCCAAGGCTTGGTAAGGGGTTAGGGTGCCATTTGCACCACTTATAGGGGTTTACAGCCCAAGAACATTTCTTGGTCCTAAACTCCTTTGATCACATGATTCTTTGTGATTTCTAAGCCCTAAACATGTTAAACCTAGTGTACAACGATTTAGAACAAGAGTACTTACGATCTAGGAACT